GAAATGTGTGGTTGAAAAAGAAGAAAAAATTATTGATGTGATGGAAAATATTATTTTATTGAAGAATGTGTGGTTGAAAATGAGAATTGATTTACTGTAGAAAAATTTAATTTCTCCCAAACAAGGCCTATGTGTACAAGCTTCAAAGCCCTACCCTTCTCATCTTAATTCTTATCGATTTTCACGATTATTGTTTGTGTTTTTGGCTTCTGATTCTCATAAAATTTTAGGTTTATGTAAGTTTCGTTATATGATTATTGAGATTTGATCCGAACAGTGGATCTGAAAACGCTGATGGAAAGGATCGTCGGAGGAAAATTTAAACTCGGACGCAAGATCGGCAGTGGATCCTTTGGCGAAATATTTATAGGTAAGTTGTTTGTACAGCTATAAACATTTTTTATTTGCTTAATATCTTTGTTTTTATTAATTTTAACTTTAACTGAGTTTTTTTTGTCATACTGAATTTTTGGGGAATTTTGTATTTTGCAGCTACACATATTCATACATTTGAGATCGTTGCGGTGAAGATCGTAAGTTTTGAATTGAATAAAAAAGTTTCTGTTAATTTCATAAAATTGTTGCATTTAGGTTTGATGGTTCGAACAGGATTTCCATTTCTTTTTTCCTTTTTTTAGCTTTAATCCAAAGTGAAAATGCAAATATAGAATCGGATATGTCTGTATACATGGTTCGATGTTATGGTGGGTTTGTATTCTCAACTAATCATCTGGATGTTTGTAATTTAAATAAGAACTGCTGAGTGAAATGCTTTAATGTTGTTAGCCTTCTGCATATGGTTGTTCTCTTGACATCATTTGAGCACAAAGTGAAAATTGGGTCTTTTTTTGAAACTTCACTTCTGACTTTTCAGGCATAGAGAATAGTTAATATCAATATATTACTGTTTTTGATGCTCAATCCTTTTTATTTGTTTTTTCTCTGCAGGAAAATAATAAAACAAAGCACCCACAACTTCTTTATGAGGCCAAGTTATACAATATTCTTCAAGGAGGAAGTATGTAATAATCATTTCGAAAGTGTTTTGAAATGCAAATTATGCACATTTTTTGTATGCTTTTGATATTCAAATGCTATATTAGAAATAAACTTGAGTTTTATGCCATCATCAATCCCATGTAATTTACCTCTATGGGGAGTTTCCACTAAAAAATGACAGTCTCAGGATAAGTGTCTGATGCTGAGATTTTACCAATGCTTCTAAATATTTCTAGAGTTCTTTGACCGTGTCTAAAAGTAAAAAAGAAGTCAAAAGTTGATTTAGGTGTTTTACAATTATCAAACTGTCTTTATGATTAAACCCTTGTTTGAGCTCCGTTATTTGAACACTCATTTTTCCCCAAACTCATTTCCAATCATACATTCTCCCAATAAAATAATTTTACTCGTAAACCCAAAGTTTTTCTCTACTTTTTAACCACACATTCTTCTAAAAATCATTGCAAAATATATTCTCTCAAAAAATGGGGCTCAAACAAACCCTAAGTGTGAAAATTGGCAATGCTCTTTACATTATAATTGAGAATATTTAGCAAGTTTACTTCCCTTCTATCTGAAAGAATATAGTAAAAATTTTAATTAAAGACTATTGAAAACAAATGAGAAATTATCAGTTCTTGTGTTTGAGCAATATCTGTTTCATATGGCTTTATTTATTGAGATGACGAATATAAGATATGATGTCATGAAACACACACATATTAATGTGTCTCTAATGCGTTGCATCCCTAGTCCATGTGTCTTAGCTTTCTGTATATAGGAAGATGGCATGGCCCGGAAGACTGCATGAGCACTCTATTGGGAACTTTAATTGTTTGTGTTTTTGTTTTTAATTTTTAACTTTAAAGTATTTTACTTCTATTCACTCATTAGGTGGTATACCTGGTATAAAATGGTCTGGCCAGGATGGGGATGATAACGTCCTTGTCCTTGATTTGCTGGGACCAAGCCTTGAGGATCTTTTCGTGTACTGTGGTAGAAAGTTCTCGCTGAAAACTGTCTTGATGTTGGCTGATCAAATGGTAAGAAAATCCGTTAGTGATTATATTTTCCCCAAAAACCCCACTCCACGTTCTTCTTTCATTTCATGCTTGTTACAATTCTTAGATCTAAATTGTTTGTGCAGATAACTAGAATAGAATTTGTACATTCTAAAGGGTTTCTGCATCGGGATATTAAGCCAGATAACTTTCTCATGGGCCTTGGACGAAAAGCGAATCAGGTAATGGTAGCTGCTGTTCTATAGCTTTTGTGCTGTTTTCCTTAACTTCTGTCCTCACTCCCACCCAAAAAAACAAACAAACAAATAAATAAATAAATAAATATTTTCTTCATGATTCGTATGTGATATTGTGCTTTTCAGGTTTACGTTATTGATTTTGGCCTTGCCAAACGATATCGAGATTCGACAACAAATAGGCATATACCCTACAGGTGCACTTCTGTTGTATGACTTGCAGGATTTTTTCAACTGTATACTCTCTCCTTGTCTGGTGTTTATTATCCTTCAATCTTTTAATCATTTAATTAGTCAAAATTCTAGTTCGCTATTATAAAAATAATGTGAAGATTAATTTGTTTGGTTAGGAAAATATTCTTGTGGGATTAAATTTGGAAAACAAAATTTGACAACTCTCGACGCATGTTGGGATTTGCTTCTTCATTTTCCATTTTTCCTTTTTGTCCACTTTTCTGTAATAGCTTTCTTCATACATATCCTCATAATATTGCTTTACTTTTCACTTGTTCAGGGAAAATAAAAATCTGACAGGGACTGCTCGGTATGCAAGTTGTAATACTCATCTTGGGATTGGTAAGTGGATAGAGACTTATTCTCCCTTTTTAAATATGTCCAATCTTTAATTCCTTTTGTTTTAGCCAAGAAGAGGAGGAAGAGAAGTCTTCAGGGATTGTTATGAATTTATGAGCATTCAATTATATTTTCCTTTTGTATTGTAGAGCAAAGTCGGCGGGATGATCTAGAATCTCTTGGATATGTACTTCTGTATTTCTTGAGAGGAAGGTAAACAGCCCTTCTAGTGCTTCTTTCTTTAGTATAGTTTTAATTTTTCAGTTTCTGACTAGGAAGCACTAACATGATTGAGGAGCGCACTGGACACCAAGATGTGGCATGTCTTTTTTCTTTTTCCTTTTTTCACAATCTGATATGGCGCCACAACTTTAAAATAATAGAAGAAAAACAGAAGAAAAAAGAAGATACTAACCTGTCTGGAGGATCAAACGACTGGTGCTTAGAAAAAGCTGGCCTGGAGCAAACGCTGCAGGTTGAAAAAAATAACTAGCAGTGGGTGGAAGGGAGTTGAAGACGGGTGAGCTGCGCCTGCTGAAATGGTCTGAAGCCCAAATGTATTGTGTTTTGGTAACACTAATTAATTGAAAGTGAACAGAGTTTTAGCTAAAAAAGCAAACGTGATTTTAGGCACGTTTTTAATACAACTCAAAATCAGATTTTGACATTTAGTTAATTAAACGATATACATTTTTATCTCAGATCACTATCTGTTTGTAATTAAAAGTTAAAACCTACAGAAACAACGTTTACACTGTTAAACATCAGATTTTCCCTCTTCACTTACCTTTGTGAGATTGAAGATATACATTTACAGATTTCATCTTCGACCTGTTCTTTGCTTGAACGTTACTTACCCTTTTGAAAAATTGAGCAAATGCAAAATGTCCTATTTGCTTTAGACTATAAATAATTTGAAATAGAATAAGGAAAATCATATTATTTTAATCAAAGTGTCTAGACGTGTCATATTGAAGTGTCACAACGTGTCGGTGTTGCGCATCAATGTTGTTGTTTCCTAGGTTTTCCGAAAGATGATTCAAGTTGGCTTTTCTTTAATTATCTACTTGTTTGTGTATAGCCTTCCGTGGCAGGGTTTGAAAGCTGCCACAAAGAAACAAAAGTATGACAAAATATGTGAGAAAAAATTATCCATTCCTATTGAGGTGGGCACATGTATCAATAGTTTTTTTTTTTTCTAGTTTCATATTTTTCTTTCAACTTACCTTTATTCTGCTTTATACTTGTTTTTTCCCTCCTGAAGGTGTTGTGCAAGTCCCATCCAGTAGAATTAGCTTCGTATTTCCACTACTGTCATTCATTGACATTTGACCAACGGCCTGATTATGGATTCTTGAAACGCCTCTTTCGTGAACTGTTTACTCGCGAAGGTATAGTTAAGTTGTTGGTTAGTTGTATACACATGCGAAGTTAGTGTCAAAGAATAGCATTTAATCATATTGGATTTGTTGGGTGATTAATCTGCAATTGGGATGAAGTGATGTGATGTCTCAGTTCCATGTCTTAATACTGTCTTAAATTATCCACTAATGAGTTCTCTTTTGCAGGATATGAATTTGATTATATATTTGACTGGACAATTCTCAAATATCAGCAATCACAAATAAGTAAAACACAACAACGGGTATCAGTAATGTCTTTCTCATTTTGCTCCTCAAATTGCATATTATTTTTAATCTTCGATCATCAGTTTTCTTTGTGTGAAACTGGTACATCATTATCATCTTTTTGTTAAAATATAATGTAAAAATTTTCTGCAGCCAAATGCTGGTGAGAGCAGTCGTCCAATTCCTATGGATATGGAAAAGCAACAAGGTTAGATTTTTCTGAAGCTCTTTGCTTAACAGGATAACTAAAGTGTAAACAAAAAATTATTGCATTCAAGTTATTGTTGGAATATTAAATTGTGTTTCGAAAATTTTCATTTCACTTAATTGTATTCGTTCCACCTGCAGGTAGAGGAAGTTTTGCCTTCTTTTTAAATTGTACAGTCCGTCTATACGCTTGAAATTACATGGATTAAGTTAATCATTGGCAGCCTAAGCCCTTGTTTGATTCCCTTTTTTTTTCTTAAATACATTTCCCTCTCTCTTCTTTTCAACCACACGTTCTTCAATAAAATAATATTACATGCAAACCCAAAACTTTTCCTTATTTTTTAACTACGCATTCTCTATCAATCTACTATTCCAAAATGCATTCTTAACCTGCTCAAACGGCTCTAAGTATTCTGTAATGGTTCTTAGAATGCCTAGTTCATGCTGGGATTGACATTGAAACTGGAACCAAAAACTAAATAATCAAATGAAATAGAAAGAATGATATCACGATTAGATTAAATATGCTGGTATTAAATATCCTGCCTGTCTGTTTTCTTGGGTAACGGTTACATATATCTTTAAGTTACTGAACAAATTTTATAATTTGATGTCTGCAGGCAATAATGGTTCTTATTTAGTTGATTTGGGTCAACGGATGAGATCAAACAATGCCGCTGGTAGTTCTAGCATCCGTATGGAATTTAAATCGTCAAGAAATCGAAATTTGACTTCCGAGAATCCTCTTAAAAGAAATGTATGCCAATCCTTTTTTGTTGAATGAAAAAGGAGATCTGATATCGACTCTTATTATCTATATTTTTCCCTTTTATTTCTTGTAAGGATAAAATTTTCAGCTTTTTTATAGCATTATGAATAATGTTGTCAGATCTTGATATTCTTAATATTATGAGCAATCAAATTTATGTATTTATCTATTAGCAGATTGGACATTTATATTACTTAATTCTGTAGATGATGAGCAATGCGCACATGCCATCTACTTCATTTGCTTCTGCTGCTATAGCGAAAGGAAATGACTCAAAACCTGTAGTATCTACTGAAGCAAGTACCGGTAATGGAAATGGCGATAATACTGGTCCTTCAAGTAGTTGGATCTCTTCTCTGCGCCGTATTTCTTCTCCCAAGTGACTGATAAGGTAATGTTGTCCCTACTACACCCCCTCCCTCCCTCCTCGTCTCTCTTGGCTAGGTTATTCAAATGGACGCATGTTACGTACAATGTTCAGTTGCTTATATACTTATTTTCTGTTTTCAGGTAGACACCAAGATGAACCACTGCACATGCAGTGGATTTGGACTTATTTAGTTGTAAATAGTTTGTGGCTGATCATTGTATGAAGACCTTCGGTTTCAATTTTTATGAGATACGGTGATGTTCGTCTACACAGCAGTTACTGTTCTGTGGTTGGAGTCCCTGGTTAGATGTCCCTGAGATGATTACCGAACACATTAGTTGATTGGTACTAATAGATCATATCTCAGCTTCCAGACATATTGGCACAACAAATTAGTTGCTACTGATTTGGTTTTTGGTTCATTGTACGAGTAATATGTTTGGCTATTTTCTCCATTGAGTCCTATTGTGCATATGGTGGTTTCAAGTTTTCTTTTCATGTGCTTCATCAAATTGGTTGCTAGCTTGTGTTATGAACTACATGCCTTTAGATCCTTTGGTCACAAGAACCCCCTCATTTTTGGGAAATGTATTGATAACATAACTGGATTTTTCATAATAATAAACATAGAATCTTCACATTTGAAAGCTAATAATTTATGCTTTCTTTGTTTATTGAGTTCGTTGTAAGAAAAGAATTTTCCATAAATGACTTCCTATTTAAGGAAAAGCTTCGAGCTCATTTTGGGCATGGGTTGAGAAATTGAACTCTATAAGTTATGCTCGAGGGTCTTATTAAAATGGATTTGTGGTCATGATAAAATGGACGAAGTTAAGAACTGAAAATGTATGTGTGGAGTGGCGCAATTGAGGATATATCAAGGGAAGAACGACTTTGGTAGTTGGTAAGAGACTCTTGTTCTATAAGTGATGTGATTCATCACTAGAACAAGTTTAGAACATGGAGGGGAAGTAAAAAATAACATGGCTTGTGGTTGGTGAGTATGGTTGCTTTGGATCTTGCACTAGATATATCAGTGATTTGAATGGGGTAGCGAGAAGGATTCATGTATCTGGTCCCAAATTTATGTGGATCTAAGGCTTTGCTTTTGTTGTTGTATGCTTGATGGCCTTCCTTTTGGTTACACTACTGGGTCTTTTTAGCTTTTGTGGGAATATATGACCTTTCTATCAGGGACATAATATTCTCTCACTAGAAAACCGAGTAATGTTATATTGCGGCTTTCGATTTGCTTTCAATCTTCTTGCGAACTGGTTGAATCTGCCAATGCTGTTATCTCTTTTACGTCCCTTTCTGTAGCATCCTATAAAAGTGATAATAATGAGTTCCTGTCAAACTTCTGTTAAGCTTCCTCTAGTTTCCATATAGTTGGGCACTCATTTTAGTCTTCTGTTCCTTCTTTTAATCATTTTACCTCAACTTGTTTAGCAAGTCTGGTTATGGTATTTCCTTGGGATTCAGAGCAAAGCTTATTTTAATGATGCAGCTTGCCAACTACTTTATTTTAAAGTTATTTTAGATTACCTATCAATTATGAGTTCATGCATTTGCAAATTGCAGGATTTGCTCTTTCCACCTACATGATACTGTGGGAAGAATGAGGCAGAGAAATATTATTGAAGCTGGTATCCCCACTGACAGGCGCGGCTTCTGTGAGATAAGTCTGTCTTTTCTATGATCAGTACAAAAGAAGCTGAAATTATTGAATCTTTAGGTACATCTTGTTAATTTTATGAAAAGTTGTGATGTGTTTTCAAATGAACTGGAACCACCTCACTTTGTGGTTAAGCAAATACTTGTGATGGATTTATCACAGGGGAGGAATCTGTTGAATGTATTGTGGCATGTATACATCTTTCTGCTTACAATACTCAAGGTTTACTGGATTGCTTTAAAAAGCCACATCCCGAGCTGTTATGAACATAGGTTTCTAATATGGATTGTAATGTGGTAATTCGTCAAAGATTGGCAGAAAATGAACCAGGCTTATAGGCCTAAATTGTGATCGGAAGAACTAGAGCTGGTATATTGCCCTCTCATTTACATGAAACGATGTGAATATTTTTCAGAAGAAAAACAGTGCCAAGGCTGCAGAAAATTGGCGGTGACTAAAAGGTCAGCGAATGATTTCGGTGAGATTCAAGTCAATCAAACTGGAGAAAAGTATTAGCAATACGTGGTGTGCCGACTAGGTCGTAATGAGCTCTTTATGCTATAGGATTATTATTTATTTGCAAAATAATGAAGATCTGCATGCAGTTTTGAATTGATAAGGAAATCAGTAATATATTATCAATTCTAGGTGTATGATGTTGATGCTGCTGCTTTTTGTAGCTAGGATATTTTCGTGGCTTGTTACAGATTGCAAGCTCGTGAAATAATAGGGATTTTACCTTTTGAGACATTCCCTCGATGCTGTTGGAAATTTATTCAAAATAGTTGTGGGGATTGGAATCTTTGCCAACACCCACTAATCATGAAAGTTATGTTGAGCAGTTTGGTGGTTCATCGCTTCTTGTGCTTATTATGCTGGATGTTCACAGTACCTGTTTGTGGAAAATGTTTGGGACGCGCAGTTGGATAGGATTGGCCAGCGTAAGTGTCAAACTTTTCTTGTACTGTTCGAAATTGAATTTCCTTGAAGTTTGGTTGGGCCAACTGCTATTGCCTCGCACGATTCGATGGTCCTTACTACTGTTGGGATTTTGGTACAGGTAAGAATTACAGATTGAGCAAGTATTGTCTGGTTCAGACGAGAGTTTACTTTCAGTTGATCTATTGAAGTGTCGAACTCTCTGGTCTCGTGAGGAGGTAAGAGAAATGAACCTCTCCAGTTAAATCAAGCTTACAAATTTTCTATGAATAAAAACCGAAAAATGAAATAGATAAAAAAAAAAAAAAAATTAAAACAAAACTAAGGCGTTTGTATCTTTTAAACTTTTGTTCTATGCGGCTTAAATAAATTGGGAAATAATAAAATATCATGAATGGCATAGTGAATTCGTTCTCATTACAAATAAATTTCTATGGTAAAGGAATCATACATACTGACGTGAACATACAGTAGGCTAAATATATTTGCGCCACCGTTTTTAATAACTAAACTGCATTTTAATTGGTGGTTTGTAATCTTTACATTATTATATTCTTGTCTCAAATTTTGTTCGTGTCGTTTTTATTCTCAAATTAACAAATTATTGTTGATTATGATCTCTCTTTTTTTTTAGAGTTAAAGAACTGATTTGCCATTATGACCCTGTTTGGACGCCATTCTTCGAAAATTATAATAAATAAATCGACCGTTATACATTGTCGAGACTCCACTTTGGCAACCTTGTCTGAGGCATCTACAGTGAATAAAATAAGTGGTGAAAATATCGTGATCCCCCTAACTAGTTGCATTCAATTTTTATAATTTGGACAATTTTGACATTTCCAACTTCAAAATGTCGGCTGCCATTGGATTTTTCAAATATTGCTGCTCCACCTACTGTTCACCTATTGTTGCAACGTTCACATTTTCCATTAAAATGTTGAAGTAATTGCTTTCAAACAGGCTCTATATTTTTGAATAAGCAAAACAAATAATATTGTAAAAATGCGAATAAATTTGATCCTCATTTTAAAGCACGTTAAAAATATTTTTGAACAAAAATTAACGCTAACATTTTCTAATTAATGAAATGTAAAAATAAGAATGCAGTGAAAAAATTTTAAGGATATGTCTTCCGTTAGATGCTCAATTTGTTAAAAATCAATTTTTTTGTGCACATTTTTTCAATAACATATTTTTGTACGTAAATTTAAAATTTTTTCTTATTATCACAAATTCTTCAAAAAAAAAAAAAAATTGAGCCTTCACTTGATGTACAAGTTGATATGTGCGTTGTGATGTTGCAGCTGCCTTCTGTCGTTTCTTCCTTGGCTACTTAGAATTTGCTCGATACATTTTTTGTTTGTCTTAATTTCTAATAGCCACCCAAAAATGGAAAAATGATAGTTTTAACGAAATTTAAATGGATACATATTTAAAAGCTCAATAAATATTGCTTTGTAAGTAAATTTATTAAAAGAAAAAAAAAATCATGTTCAATTAAGCCAGGCACGATATTTATTTAATTTTTCAAATTAAGAAATGTTACTATTCACTAGTGAAAATGATGGTGAAGAGGATTATAGCTAGTGGGAACAGGGGATTAATTTTAAATTTTCATTTATGATTTTCAAATAATCAAATATTGTTTTAGGTGTTTAACCAATTTTAAGAAATCGATTATAGAAGAATGTGTTCTATTTGGAGTCGATTTTGGTATGAAGAGAGAGAGAGAGAGAGAGAGAGAGAGAGAGAGAGAGAGAGAGAGAATTGACTTTATATTATACAGTAAAATTATTGTCTAAACAATGTTAGGAGAATTTCGTACCTTTTATTTTTATTTTTATTTTTTTTGAAATTGACTTATATACTATTTAATACCATTTTTTGGTTGCATTTATGAGTTACATGTTGGATATCATATATGTATAAATAAAATGTGATAGATGAAACATCTTTGATTTTGGCGTTCATGGAGGTCCTCGACCACAACAAGCGTGCTAATGCTTGAGTACAGTGGTGCTCAAAGGAATAAGAGGTGTTGGAGGCGCTTGCTCAAGTGAGATATATATGTGAAAGAGAGAAATATCAATCTTCAAATTTAAATCTGAACGGCATTCATGCATAAAACAATGTTTGTGTTCACCTTTTTTTTTTTTTTCGTTCCACCTTTTCACATTATGCCCTCTATTTGGTGGAGATTAAAGTCAAATTTATAAAAATATTACAATACTTCAGGATTGGGTGGGTAACACTTATCTAACAGTACAGGTTGTAAGATGTGGTCTTGTCCACTGGCAAGGTGGCAAGATTCCTTTTTATCGATATTTTAGATTCTACTGGTGAGAGGTAGCACCCACCATGAGCAGGAGATCAGTTGTAATGCTAATGCTAATAATAATCAAAATAACATCACCATAATGTGCTCATGTTTGACTATTTTTAAATTAAAATTTCTTAATCTCATATTAATTTTCAATCACACATTTACACAATAAAATATTCACGTAAATTAAAAAAAATAAAAATTCCTACTTTTTAATTACATATTTTTCAAAAAAATCATTATTCAAAAAT